TTTCTGAGCGTGGGAGGGGGAGGACGGCAGAGGCCGCCGCAGACGTTCCAGGAGGGCGTGGCGGCCTTAGGACGGCCGGGGTGGGCTCGCGCTGGGCCCGCTAAGCCTGCGGTGCGACGCGTCGCCACGATCTCCCACCGCACAAAACAGAAACGGACACAGGGCGGGCCGGAGACTCGTCGGCATTTCACACAAACGCACGACTCTGCAGTTGGCATTGCCGTGCGTGGCACGAAGTGGTGGGTTTGATTTATTTTTCGAAGGGAGATCAACAGTATTGGCGTGATGTAATTTCTCTTCTCGCGAGCGTAAGAGCAAGAGCCCGCGCCGAGCAAGCACCTCCCTCGCCTCCACGACGCCGGCCCCGCCGCCCTCGCGAGGAGCGCCTGCGGTGCGAGTATAGGCAAGCCCCCTCGCTCTTCAGTGCGTTGGGAAGCCCGCTCGGGAGGAGCGCGGCTGCCAAGCGCCCGGCCGCTGCGGGCTGTCGGGTCTGTGCGGCCCAACCGACGCGCGTGTCACATGGGCTGCCTACCGCCGCGGCGGGCGTCTCGTCGCCAGAACCGCTTCTACTACTACCGAAACGATGATCGTGCAATGGACAAAGATTGGTCTTTGCCGTAGTGTGTAGTTTTCATGACGACCATGTTAAGGCCGGCGTGCGATTTAAATGGAGAAAGAAGTGCCAAGGAGCAATTTACCTTTGGTAGAGGTTGTCTTGGGGTCTGTTTAAAACCCGTTTAAACACACTGAGGAGAAGTCATTCAATGCAGCGGATGCGAAAAACGGCAGCATGTCTTCGATCCGTCGGGGTGTAGACGCAGTCGGACGTCGATAAGACGAGGAACGGTCGTCTTTACGACGAGTTGTTCTTTCCGCCGGGGTTTGGCGTGATGAAGGCATTGTGGCGGCTGGGCGGGCGGCTGGCGCAGCGTCGCGCGCGGGTTCGCTGAACGACGCGCTTCCCGTCACATGCGAGGTGGCGCGTGCGCGTGCCCGTGGCATGTCGAACGAGTCTCTGACATGAGATGCATCTCGATGCATTGCGCGCTGCATTTCCGTGTGTTGTGCATGACAGGGATGCGACAAGGTCAGTCCGACCCACAACCGCCGCGAGCCTGCCCTGAGCCCGCATCCAATATCGGGAAAAAAGAAAAAGAAAAACACTAAAATATAAGAAAACGTTGAAGCATTGCTTCCTGGGCGTGGTTAAGCCAATCGGAAAATTACTAAAGCCAACGTAGAAATATTTTCCGGTGCAAATCTCCAACTTCGCGATGAAGAACCAAATTGTAAAACCGATTCAGTTTTTTCTCCACAAACTAAATTTTATCTGTGGTGATGAAATAATTTAGTCAAGCTTACTCGAGCTTACTCAATTTGATTGGTGCGACCATGTTTAGTTAAAAATGAGGTTACTAAAATTTTAGTTGGTTTCAGAGGAACTAAATTTTGTCCCTATGATTTGGTTGTGTGAACTAAATATGGTTCTCTGAGCGCGGTATGCGGTGCCATTGCGGACGTCCCCTCCCAGCATCCAGCGCTTGCAGTAGTTGCGGCCTGCGCCTGGAAGATGTACGCGAGTACGCGCCGCTGTCTGTCTCCGTCGCTCTCGCAGCCGGTGCGGCCCGCATTAGTAGTGTGTTGCACGCATCTCAAAATGAGTTGCCAAGGTCGCCTTGGTCGAGCGGCTCGCGACACCACTGTACCGTACGTGTAGTACTGCCGTGCGCACTGCTCGAGGTTTGCGCCAGAGCGCTAGCTAGTACCCGGCGAGACCATTTCACACGCACACACACACACACACGAGCGAGAGCGCGTACATTGCTGGCACGCTAGCATTATTTTATGTTGTAAAATGCTGTGTGTCGCTATGTACATTCTGAAAAGTCTTTTTCGTGTTTCGTAATTTTCCCATGTTTCTGGATCGCATTTTGCGTTGATATACGCACATTCAAGTCTGATGCTATTTCGTAACCGTACAGAGCTAACAAACTGCTCGCAACTTCCAGTAGTGTCTGACTGTCTGAGGAACACGAACGCGATACGTTCAAAGGAGCCGCGCCTCGCTCTGGGCAGGGCTTCTCGCTGCCAACATTGGCACGACGAACACACTGCGCCGCACAGCTGTTCAGTTCTCACAAGCGATTATTAGCAAATAGACTGCAGTTCGCAGAGATCATCGAGTTTCCCGCCTAAAATAAGGCAATTTTAGTGGAAAAATTTCCATTTTGATGCACTTTACTCTCGCAGAATATGGTTGCCCAGATACTGCTGGCACTGCTAGAACCTGCTTCGCGCCAGACGTGGTACCAACCCATTTTGTGCAAACTCCTCTGTTTCCGCGGGTTAAATAACATTTTCCGCGGGACTTGGAGCTGCGCCTTATGTGTTACTAAGCTATTACAACACCAATATCGAAATTACTTCAACGTTTTCCTCTTTGCTAGGCTGGGCTACGCCCCGACAGTATAGCGCGTTGACGTTGGCAGATGTGGAGAGCAGCGCGACCTGTTTCTGCTTTGTTTTTGTTTTTGTGTCAGCCGTGTTTCCCCCCTCGTCCCGCTCCCGCCCCTGCCCCGTCTCCGACCCCCAGCCTGCCCCAGCCGTTAGGCCCCTCCCCGGATCAGTTGTTGAGTACACACCAGTAGGCCCGGGACGTCGATGGGGCCCAGGTAGCAGCCAAACATGGCTTCAGCGCGGGGGAAGCCTGTCTCGCCGGGAAATCCTAACTTTACGGTCGACCGTCTGGTGCGCGTAGGATATTACGAACTGGAGAAGACGATCGGCAAAGGGAATTTCGCTGTCGTGAAGCTCGCCACCCATGTCGTGACCAAGACACAGGTGAGTACGTCAAGTTGGAGCGGGCCTGCAAGGTCGACGGGCAGGCGAGGGCGAGACGGGGCGAGTTTGTAGCGCAACGTCGCGTACGGCAGAGCGAGTGATTCGCTGCGATTTCAAAATGTTTATCTTGGATGGTGGCCGAAGACGGGGTGTCGCGCTGGGGGCTACGTCTGGTGTGTGGTGGTGTCCGGCTGGTGAAGCGGTGATGACAACTGTACACGCGTGGTAATTGCCACTGGTGATAATGGTGTGTTGTTGTTGTGCGCATCCTCTGCCAACATAACCAGTTTGTGTTTGGTTTTGAGGTTATGTCGTCTGCGAGATCTGTGTCTTCGATTTCGTCTGCTGCGCTGGCCTGTGCATTTCCTCGAGTTTTGTTGAGAATCGCCTGGATTCAACAGTAGATAATCGAGTTGATTATTTTCTTTTGGCATTGACAACTCGGAACTTCCCTCTCGTGATAAATGTGTGTAGTGTCTGCTGGATCATACACTTCTGTTTGTTTACAATACTTGATTTTATTGTGTTGTAAATGTTGTGTACCTTTTACATGAAGACCTTTCCGTTAACATCATGCTGATTTTACACAATGAGCAGATTTTTGGTCGTTTATCTTTCATTTTCAGTACATTTTTGAATATTACTTGCTAAAATTTAGCAACTTTTCCACCCTCTTTTCCAGTGTGTTTCAAGTATATGGAGCAAGGATAGTTTATTTTTCGGGGCTTACAGAGATTAACATGTTTAACAGTTAACTTTTTTACTGTTATAAAGTTGTGCTTTACACCTTTCTAGTTAAATGAACTGGTTGATCACTGTACTGAGTCATGTTGTTCATAAACTCATGTTCGTTCCGTTCTTCTAGAGATAAGGCAACTTCTTATGCAAGCAGTGTGCTGTCTACCTTCATGGAAAATGTCCCCAGTAGAATTATATACTGTTTATACTTTGAACCAAAATTTATGAAGTGGGACTCTTCCATTACATGCCGCTACATTTGTTTGCTAGTACACAAGACAGCACCCCTTTAGTCAGTCAGCTGCCCAGACTCGGAAAGTTTTATGGATATGTGCGATATAAGGGCAACATTTACTGACGTCCCATCGCAAAGGTTAACTGTTCAGATAAGGTGATAAGACACTCACACTAAGTAAGCACTGTAATTAAAATGATTCCTTGAGAGGCAACAGTTCATTTATTTAGTTCCTTAAGTTTTTGTGATTTGGTCATCTGTGTTGACAGAAGGGTTTTGTCTTACCGGGTAAAGTAGTTAAAGAGCTCTCTTTTGTGTCCAAAACAAATTTATTATATTTGTCTTTCTTAAGGTTTCTTGTAAAAATTTCAAAAAGGGTGAAAAGCAAAACATTTTTATTATCAATGTATTTTAAAGGCTTTCGCCTTACAATTAAACAACCTAAATACTGTTTCAAATAGAAACCCACTGCTGGAACCCTAGAGGCGCTGCAATGATCATTATTTAAGATGTCATTCTGATGTACTGTACAGTGTGAATCTTAACAAGTGCAACAAGTCGAGATTGACCCAGTAAAAAAAACTAACAAAAGGGATTATATGTTTGCTACTGCCTTTGACATGTGTAAACTGAAAGCCCAGAAAATAAAAATAGTTTCACTAGTGAAAATAACTCTAAAAGGTAAACTTGCTTGACGTGATGTGTACTTGTAAAACATGAAAGTATCCAAAGATACGTATATTTTTTTAAA